ATTACCATGAGAAAGAAAAACAAAAACATTTCCGTGAGGACATAAACTAATTTGGATACTAACCGGTTCTTGTCTCTCGAGAAAAAAAAAACAAGATTTTGAATTATGGTTCAATTTACTTCTCTGTCCTCCTGCTCCTTCTTCTTCATCACTCTTACTCTCTCCTATTATCATTATGTTTACCATGTTCTCAGTATAGTCCGTATAGTCCGTCGAGGCAGACATTCCCACCACGATGTTTCACCACTAATAAGCTCCTTGGTCCACCTTGCCTTTGCTCCTCTATCGTTCTCTCTTCCTCTCTCTCTCATTCGTATTTCAACTTATCCTTCTTTGTATACACCCTCGCTTGCTTTTTGCACAAGACGATACAATCGCATACAGAGCTTCATTTGAGATCGTTCTATAGGCGCTAGATACTCTGAGAAGCATTCACCTTTAGGACATCTCCACCAGCTTGGCATATTTCGTGGTGTTTAGCACGATGCACCACACGGGTTCAGCTTAGGTCACCAGCGACTGGAAAACTCCATTTAGCACCCTTTTTTTGATGCTACCTGAGCCTCCATCGGCATTAGCCGTTCCAACGCCTCCAGACTTCGGTTAGCCCTTTTTTACTGTCTTTTGTATACTAACCATCAGTTCTTCCTACAGCCAGACCCCGAAGACCTCACAACAACAGCCTAGTTTTTTGAAGATCAGGTTCCATTACTGTAAGTTTGACAGTGATCGGTCAATGGAAGTAATATATTTTATTGATCTCACGAAAATCGTAACAAATAGCAAAAAACAGCTTTATAGAAACTTACTCTATTTGTGAAAAAAAAATGTATATTAAAGCTGTACTTCTCTCCTTGTAAACTCATTTTAATTTTTTCTGATAGGATATTCTGATTAAAAATATCTAATTTTTATCGCTTAGTTGATATTTTTTTTAATTGATTTCGCGCGGGTAACTGACATTAAAAATCGCCGGTCACTTTAAGCGTTGTTTCTGAGAGAACGATTCATTTTACACAAAAAGTGCCAATAAGCATTTTTGTTCAAAATCATCCCAGCTATATATCTTGTTCGAAATATTTTTTTTCTACGGCCGGTGTACAAATTCTTGGCAAATCGATATTTTCAATTTTTTTCCCCTCTATGACGGGGGGTTTTAGATCGAAGCCTGGTAGAAGCAGTAATAAATTTTTTTGCATCTATTTTAAGGTCCCAAAATTGATAATCTCAATCAAATTTAGCTTGCTCGCATGCTTTTTAGAGGTCAAATCTCTAAAGACTGGCCTATAAGCATTGGATTGACATAAAATAAATGATTTTATTATGTTTAGTCTTTATTCTTAATTTGGCTATCAAGTGAAGAGAAAAAGTAAAAACAAATATGGAATATCCCACGAAAAAACTGAAATAGAATACGAAATTTTTGTACAATTATAACAAAGGTGTAACAAATTTGATTTGCCTTAAGATATTGTTATATATTCAGTACAGTCTATTTAATTTAACTTTAAATCAATTATATATAACTATTTTTATTTAATTACTATCTCATTGGGAATAAGAAACAATTAAAGGTGAAAGTAAGTTTATTGACGTTTCAATATTTGAATTATTATTTATTTATTTTATTCCCATTTAAACAGTAATTACATTAAAATGCAAATAGCTTTAAAACAATATTTATATTTATAATTATTTTTATGTTTAGGTCGTAAACACAAGAAATCAAAAATCAAGAAAATCCTTAGCCCAATATTGATCTTTATTCTGCTCAAGGCCATCACATTAGTCCCATTCGCCATAGGAGTCTTAGGTCTGAAAGCCTGGAATGGTCTTCAACTGGCATTTATCTCTTTCATCATATCAGCAGGACTGGCGATCTTCCAACTTTGCCAGAAACTGGCAGCCGACCACGCACACGCTCACATATCTACTACTGGACCTTGGGAAAGCGTGGGCTCTTCTCAGTGGGGTAGGAGTTTGGATGAAGACGAGGCCCAAAAATTGGCATATTCTGCATATGTTCAATAATATTAGGCGCCTAAATGATCTGTGTTACTAATATTAAAATTATTTATTTATATTTTTGTGTTTGTTTTAAAACAGTAAATTGAAAATTAAAAACTTAGTTGTTTTAATGTCAGAAAAGCGTAAGAGATACAATTAAACGGAAAAGGTTTTGTGTACTCCAACCTCCTTTTTCTTCCAACTTCCAACACAATATTTTTTATAGGGGATACCAAATTAGTAGAAGAGATATTAAGGTTTTAGGTTTGGAGGTGTAGCTATAATTTTATTTGGCTTAGTTTAATAGGTCTAGGGATGGATAATTATAAAATATTGGATGTTGTTTATGTTTGGAACTTTGGAAATATGTAGAGTAAAAAGTAATGTAAATTGTGATTTCGTTATATAAAGTTGATAAGAGTATAAGCACCCGGGAACGGGAACGGCTTTTTAGTTGCTCTTCTTCACTTAAAGAAAAGACTATACTGGAGGGGAATTCAATGTTTAACATGCGCTGTGAAGTTCTGCAAAGAATAATTACTAGTTTAGCTGGATTGGTTATTTCTAAATGATGGTTTAGCAACCAGAATTACTCTTTCAAACTTGACGAATCAGCTGTAGACTTAACGTTAGTAACTCTGGATCTACTGCAGTACACACACATTCACACTCACACACACACACACACACACACACACACACACACACACACACACACACACACACACACACACACACACACACACACACAGACATAGATCATCCCTGCCCATAAGTAACATATATACCATTGGAAAGTCGGATCCACATGTACAAAGATCAAGCCGGTCACACTTCGCTATTGAAGTGGTACATATCTGACCCCCAGTCTTTTCCTTCACCTCTCTTCATCATGTGACTTACGTGACGAGGCTAATGATCTGAAAGTTACTTTGGCTGACCTGGGTAATGGAACATCCTCTATTTTTATTGACTGTGGTTAGGCCACATAACTATAGGGGTAGCACACATATCGGATTTTCTCCCTATGTACTTTAAGCACTCTATTAATGTTACTGAGCTGATGACTCTCTTTCCGAAAAAATGTGTGTGCTCCGCCACTCAGCCGCCGACTTGGCAAAATAAATTTTGTTTTCCTCGCCGGCTGAGCATCCTATTCCTCGGTGCTCGGAATTCCTGATAGGATATTCAAACGATCTGTCTGAGGGGCTAAAGCCATACGGCTGGTATAAAAGGCCTGACGGGCCTTTTATATATTTTGAATTCAATTATTTACGACGCAACAGCATTCACACAATATTCAAGGTTCGGTTGAGACTTTGGTTTGGTTTAGACAATGAGCGATTTTTTTGTTTTTTATCCCAACTACTACTACTATGCTAACTTAACTATGGGGTGTACATTCCCAAGTGTATACTGCTTTCACACACCCCGTGTATATTTTTTTTGAATTGTTTATTTTTTAACTATATTCTTAAATACTACTATGTGTGCGTGTGGTGGGATAGTATATATTGCCCTCACACCCCGGTGTATATTGGTCTTTATACTATCGTTTTTTTCTCGCCAGACTGTTACTGAATTGCTGCAGCCATCCAAGCTCATCCAACCAGCCATCTCTTAGTTGGCTGCAGCAAATCTTCCTCAATTTTTTTTTGTGCTTACTATCTAAAAACTTTGACTGACTACTTTGCGACGATCTCAGTTCTTCATTATCTTTGTCTTTCCTATATCCAATTAATTGTTACTTCAGTTGTTTATTCACTGTCCTTTGTGTTTACGTCGTACTCCATCAACTCTCTTAATATCCTATCGGCCTGGTTTCTAAGTCCATTGAAAACGTCATAGGCTCTTACGTCCATTATCCTTACGATTCTTTTTTGACCAGAGTCTCTAAATACGTATCTTAACGGTACATATTTTGGTACTTCTAGTGCCCCTCTGATCATCCAATTTTTGGCTATTTGGACCTTTTTTCTATTACTTTTGCATGTATGTCCACATACGGCAGATGCATATGTTAGTGAGGGTAGTAGTATTATGCTGTTAGCTACTTTCATTTTTGTTTTGAAACGAAGTTCGCTCTTTCTGCCTATTAGTGAAGAGAGTTGACTTCTTATGGCTTTCGCTTTGTCCACCGCTTGCTTTACATGTTTGGTGAATATAAGCTTTCTATCTAGTATCACTCCAAGATATTTTGCCTCATTTGTACATTCTACAGGGCTATGGTAATCTCCGTGTTTGGTCTGCTTCTACGGTGTCTGTACATGACGGCCTGTATTTTTTTGGGATTTGGGGTAATTTTCACTGGTTTAACACTGGCTGTGTCGTCCGCGTACAGATTTACCAGTGTTCTGGGATCTGTTGGAATATCAGCCGTGTTTATAGTATATAGATATGGCAACAGTACCACTCCCTGCGGCACACCAGCTTGCAACTAATATGTCATATTAGGTGAAAAAAAATTTAAAATGTAAACAAAAAATTTTAAAATATGTAGAGTGTCCCATATAAAAAAACAGGTTGGCATTATATCTACTTAGTGAGACACCCTAAAAATTTTTTTTAGTGACATCTTAAAAATTTTAAAATATGTAGAGTGTCCCATATAAAAAACAGGTTGGCATTATATCTACTTAGTGAGACACCCTAAATTTTTTTTTAGTGACATCTTAACTACTTTTTTCTATATCCTCTAGTTTTTTGTATACGCTGCAAAACATACAAATTTGGGACAATCTGTACATTGCCAAAGACTTGCTTTTTTGTTTTAACTTTTTTTTGTGCTGAATGCTTTTTTTTAACTTTTTATTTCAAATATTGGATTTTTTCTAATAAAAATAAACAATTTATAAAAAAACATTATTTTATTTATTGCTCATTATCATATATAATTTATTTTTGTGTTGAATGAAATAACTGTACTTAGTAAAAAAATATTTATTAAAGTAAAATATTTACAAATAAATTATACAAAATAAATAACACCTCCTTTACTGCTGCGGAGCATAGCCCGAATAGGCCATTTGTTGTGCTCCATCTGACCTGTCGTGATGGAAATGGTGCAAATGGGGATCGTACGTTTGATGGATGATCTGAGGAGGCTCATGATTTACTTTGGTACAAAGCTTCCAAATAGCCATTCCCAAGGAAGAAATGAACGACACGAAGGACAGCTGAGTAGCGTTCCAAGCTTTAATTCCCAGTATTCCCAAGGCCAATGGTATGAGGGTCATTGCCTTGATGACGAGGAAAACCAAAATAGGAACGAAGAGTTTCTTTAGTTTTGATTTCTTCTTACGGGCTACAAGAGAGAATCTGCATTAGCTAGTAAAGGTCAAATATGTTAAAGATTATATGTATTGTTAACAAGTTTGCGTACATAGACGTTGTTTAAAATTAATTCACATAGGTAATGATAATGTCTATAAGGTAGTTGGTCTTCCATCAATATTTTAGATATACAGGCAGTTTGGTCGCTTGCTAAAAAATCACCATATTGTGACGCTTTTTTCGGTTAAAAATATGTATAATGTGTTCTATCCAAGTTATATAAAATATTCATGTAAAGTCTACATTAGTCAAACTTTTATTCAAGAAATCATTTTTCTAATTATCAACACATCCTTCTAACAATTCTTAAAAAAGCCGTACAAAAGGAACTACCTGTTGGGCTATTAAATAAAAATACTGATTGGGACAGCTTCAAACAAGAACTCAGAGCAAGGATTACCCTTTCTGTGAACCAAAAAACAACTAAATAACTTTACTTTAAAGTAGAGCTATTCACAAAACAGGTCCAAAAAGCAGTCTGAGACAATAGAAGTCCAAAAGAGATCAATAAAAATATGAATTCTAGAAAAACTCCTGGATTCGATTTCGTAACAGAAGATGTAGCTTCTAATTAAGTGATTTTAAAAATTATTTACTTAATAAATGTATCATTTATAACTAAGTATTTGCCGATTCACTGGAAAGTGACAGAAGTTATATAGACTTGAACTATCCAAACTATGTGACAAACTCTTGCTAAAAAGGTTAAACACAATAATAAACAAAAGAAATCTCACACCATCTCATCAGTTTGGATTCAGGGAAAGTCATTCGATTTGAGGTCAAATACATAAAATAACTGATTTAAAAGAAAGAGCACTGGAAGCAAAAAAAGTTTTTTTCAGCCGTTTGTCTGGATGCTTCATAAGCTTTGAATAGATTATACCGTAAGGGTCTTATTCACAAACTAAAAAGAATACTACTAGAACTACACTTTTAATTATTAGAATCTTAGGTTTTAAATAGCTCTTTAAAATCAAGCAGAAGGAGGCATTGAAGAAGATATGATAGGCACTCATTGGAGATCAGACTATTGCATCAGCTGGAGAAGACATAAAAAAGGCATATCTTAACACGGGGAAAATTACAACTATAAAAGATAGTCGTACTATTCTATTAGAGTAGATACCATTAAGGTCCCTGTTCTCAGATTCCGCAAAATACCTAAGGTTACATTTGGACAAGAGACTGGGAGACAATATCGAGGTCATATAACTCCTCAAAAACGCTGATAAATAATCAATAAATATAATCCATACATCCAAATATAATAATATATCTGAAAGATTTTTTCTATTCTGGAATACAAAATAATTTTTGTAATTTAAGCTTTTCTTAATTAGTGGGTAATAACAATAAATCAATTATTTTTGTAAATAAATTAAACAAACCCTTTACCTTGAACGTCTGTACCAAAATTCAACTTAATGCTCATCTCTTCATCGTCCAGACTTTTTCCATCTAACGTCACCTTGGAACCAATAAACGGCAAATCGAACGTTGCTTCATGGTTTTTGATATATCTTTCGATGTGGTCTTCAATGCTGCTGGCATCACTTCTTCCAGTTTCAATGGCGTTGGTTTTTATGTCAACGTCCGAACCAACCTAAAAATAAATGGAAAACAAATATTAAAGATAATAAAATATCAAGGGTTAAATTCTTTAAATGGAAAAATTATTATTTAATTTCTTTGAAGTGCTTGATCCATTCAACTTCTGCCAAAGAATAAGTATTAAAAAATCTAAGAAAAAAGTAGGCGAAATATTATTATTTTATTTATTTTAAATATATTTTAAACATTATTCAACTAAAACTTCTTAAACACTTGTGGACACTGTTCTGCACTAGACAGTGAGACACTGATACAATCAATTACTTTTTACAAAAAAGTCGAAAAATTAAGTATTTTTCTTATGAAGTTTTCTCCAAGTAATCCCGTTTTTTTTAGATGTACCAATCCTGAAAATTAGTGTCCACCACTGTACACCTTTTTTGAGATGGTAATTTGGAGGAAAGAGATAGCAGCCTGCTTTAGGCCTTTATTCATTTGGAATCCACTAGACAGATTATTTCCAATCTTTACCTTTGAGTTAGCATAAGCGTACAGTTCCTTCGTCGCATTTATTAAATTCATCTCATGGTTTGTTTTTTCTAACACTTCCCATAATTTATAATGGATACGCTATCATAAGCCTTTCGTAGGTCTTCATACAATAAAAGTATTTCCTGATTAATGGCTATTTTTTTTTAATAATCTCTGTAATGCAAAACAAATGGTCAACAGTAGATCAACCTAAATCCTGCCTGTTCCTCAGCCTCTAAGTCTTTATATTCGCTTTCTATTCTGTTTTTAATTACTTTTCCGTATCTTGAATTGACCGAGTTTGTTACGGCAATGCTTTTGTAATTGTCACATTAATTTCTTCTGCCTTTTTTGTGTATAGTGGATATGAATCATGTCTTCCACTCCTCTGGGGTTGTCATTCCATTAATGCAGTTTTGGAATAGTTTTGCTAAACTTCTATATAATTTGGTTGTACCGTGTTTAATTAACTCTGCAGGGATGTTACCTGGATTCGGTGCTTTGTTATTTTTTAAAAATTTACATGCATCTTCCACTTCTTTCGATATTATTCGTATGGGCAAATTTAAAATATTTATATTTTATGTTTCGTTGCTATCTTTAAATTGTGGTCTATCTTTCCTTAGGAGTTTCTCAAAATATTGGTCCCGTCATTGTTATTGTTAACACTATGTGTCTCTTCTTATCTTGTCGTAAAGATTTTAAAAGTCTCCAACTTTCTGTGTTTCTTCGTCCTCCTAGATGTGAATTTATCATGTTACACTTTTGTTGCCATGCTCCATCTTTCTTCCGACATGGCTTCATTTGTTCCATCTTTCTTCATTCAAAGGCGTTTATTGCTACCTCCTGGAGAAACCTTTTTATGAGAGTATCTTACATTTTACACAGCAACATTTTATCATTTTGATATTTAATATACAGAAGGAGTTTGATGAATGGTTAATTCATAGATACTGTGTGGAATCTGCTCTACCATAATGCTGTCTTGGCATAATGATCTGGTCTCTTGGCAAGGATCGATCATATTAGAAACCTATCATCTTGTCGGAAGTAAGGGCTCGTGTTTTCAGCTACTGGCCATCTTATATATCAACAGTATATACCAGACTGGTACAATTCCACAGGATTGGTTAACGTCTACACGTTTGTGCCTATACCTAAATCAAAGAACGCAAAAAAAATGTAACGACTTTCGATTAATAAGTCTCATGCCCCATATTCTGAAGCTATTTCTAAAAATTATCCATAACAGAATATACAAAAAATGCGAAAAAGATATGAGTCCGGAACAATTTGGCTTCCGAAACGGTATGGGAACTCCAGAAGCTTTGTTCAGTTTCATTGTTCTTATACAAAAGTGCCGGGATCAACAAAAATATGTCTACTTGTGCTTCATAGATTATGAAAAGGCTTTTGACAAAATCAAACACGATCAACTAATAGAATGCTTGCAAAAAAAGAACCTGGATCCAAACGACATTAATACAATACGTGAACTCTACTGGAACCAAAACGCCTCTGTCAGAACTGAAATGGGTGACACTGAAACCATAATTATCCAAAGAGTGGGTATTTCGTAGTATGCTGAAAATTCCATGGACAGGCGTTAGAAATGAAGAAATTTTAAGGCCTATGAATAGAGAACGTGAACTCACAGAAATTGTCAAGAAGCGTAAAACGTCTTATCTTGGGCATATATTTAGACATAACAGGTATAACTTTCTTCAGCTTATTATAGAAGGGAAATAGACGGCAGATGCGGCCCGGGTAGACCCGCGAGGTTATCGCCAACCTTCGGTAAGAAGACGGCACTAACAGAAGAAGAACCAAGGGTTACATGAAACCGAACAAGTAGCCCAGGACAGGGAAGAAAAGAGGAAAATTGTGAAGAAACTGTAAAGTCCTGATGGTGTCACCACATCCCAAAAGGGATTAGGACTGAGGAGGAGAAGATTAATACTGCCAACGATCAGTATTCTTCGTTGGAACACAACAAAGGAACACCACATATGCAATATGTATATGAAAGCTAAAAAAATTAAGGCAAAGAAGTAATTATTAGTTATTACTTATTTCTAAATATTTGTTTACTTTCATTGTTTTAATTAAGAAAATATTTTACTAAGATCCAAAAACAAAACAAAATATTTAAGATTTCGAATGTAGTGAAATATTAATTTTTTTGTTATATTTTCTTATATTTAATTAAAAATAAGATAAAAAAAGTATTAGTTTTTTATTTGTGGAATGTAAATATATTTAAAATACATTAATTAACAATTAATTTGAAACTTTTTTCTCCTTTTCGTTTAAGAATTAAAAACAACCGATAAGCATAGTTTCTACTTACAACTCTACCCTCACAAATCACTAAATTATTTTTTTTACACTTTTACCACTAAAACTAAAAAATATTTATTACTTTAGAAGCTGCTCCCACTCATTTTCCTGTCCACGGTTTGGCGCTGGGTTTCCAAAAGCAGCCCCCACTAAAACGAAAACCAAAAATATCCGCCCCATTTGCACGTGTCCACGGTCTGCGAGAAATATGACTGATTTTTTGTACCCTTTGGTTTATATAGTGCTATAAAGAAAGCACTTTCTTTGAGAGATTCTTTGGACATTGCTTAAAAAATGTGGTGTGCGTCTAAAGCACCTGAAAGGAATATTGATTTTGGTAGGTGGCTTATAGAAAATTGTTGTCATGAAAGTATTTAGCGTGGTATTAGTGAAACGATTTATTTATGGAGTGTTGTGTGTTATTATTTCACCTAGATTTTATTATATTGGTCAATCAAAATGTCGGACTGAATGAATTTAAATTATATATCATAAAAGTAAAAACATTCCATTATTTTTCGGACGAAGAAGTAAAAGTCACAATATTTATTCGCCATCTATATTTATGTTTTTTATACAATTTCTTTATTGGTATTGCTTTTAATGCAGTTTTCCAAAACTCTTATTTAAAACCTTCCACAGACTTCTTTTAAAGTTTCCGATAGTCACATATTTAAGTCATTTCTTTAATATGTCACAAGTTGTTATTTTTTATCTTTTTTATTAAAGTAAAAGTCATTTTAGCCCAAATGGAGAATACAAGAACCAAATCGACTACATATTGATTAGAAACAGATGGAAGATATATTTCACAAACGTAAAAACTAGACCAAGAACTAACTGTGGATCCGATCATAAATTGTTATGGGCTTGCTTCAAGATGAAGCTAAAAAGAACAATGCCGCAACAAAGTTAAAACAGGCTGGAGATTTCAAATCCGAAAACATTTAGAGACTAAAGGAAACTAGTATGTTAAATACAGAAGACAACACAAAAGAAATGTAGAAAGGTTTCAGAAATGCCATAGAATCCTCTGTAGAAAGAAGCAGAACCAAAAAAAAAAAGATCTTCAAGAGAAAACACTGGATGACAGACAGAACGCTGCAACTTCTCGAAGAGCGAAGGAGAATCAAATCTCTCATATATCAAAACGATAGCAACAGAAACGAATTACTAAGGTTAAATAGAGAAATTAAAAGAGCATGTAGGGATAATAAAAATAAACATATAAATAAAGAATGCGAAGAACTAGATAGACATGCAAACCGGTATGAACCCCATAAGATATATAACAAAGTCCGATATCTATCCAGGGAATTTAAACCTATCACACAAACAATAATGGATCAAAATTAACATATTATAAATGAAGAGAAAGGGATTGCAGATGTATGGAGAAAATTTTGTCAAAGTCAGAGGTAGAAAAAGTAATTAAAAAGTTAAAAAAATAGCAAATCTCCTGTCGCAGACTAGATCACCGCAGAAGTTTTAACAGAGACTGAAGATGTTGAATTAAATGTTATGTATATGATCTGCAAAAAGATTTGGGAAACCGGAGAGTGGCCCAACGACTGGGCCACAGTCCACTTTCATCATGCAAGCAAGGTTTTAGAGATGGCATGATGGAACTGGAGCGTGTACCTCGGAATAGGCCTCAACCGTCTATTCCACGCACCAGTGACAAAACGTAGACGGCATCGGTTTTGATTCCAAAGGCGCAGCATTAGTTGAGTACACTTTGCGCATCGACCGGTAAGAAATTTACAATGAAACTTAAACTGGTTTCGAGGAATAGGGTTAAGACATTAGTTAAGCGAAAACGTAGAGATTAGAGAACGCATCGGCAGCGTTCGTCTCGATTCCAATATCGTCGTCTTAGTTACAAGAAATATTCTGTTAAATGTGATGGGTTCAAAAGTTTTTCGGGTCGGTACGACTGCAACATATTGCTAATTCATGGCAATTATACTTGTCATATCAAAAAGCATCTTAAACTGTTATAATTTTAACTTTTCGCATTATGTTTTTATTTGTATGACTAACATCTAATCTTATCGATCTTATCTTCTGTATTAACTTAGTGTCTTTATTTTCCATTTGCATAAATGAATTCTGAATAAACCTCGATTACGAATTGAAGAAAAAAAAGTTAAGAAATATAATTCCTAGTAGTAAAAATAACTCCTAGTTCGATCGTTTGAATTCAGTCGATGCAACGCAACACAACAGTTGTAGCACAACTAGGAACAAGCTAGCGGTGAACGGTGATGGAAAAAACTAATAGTCGAGGGTAGAGTTGAAGGAAAGAGACCTAGGGGAAGATCTTCAAGCCGTTGGGTATATCAAACAAAAATATTGATTAATTAAGGGTTACATGAAGCCGAACAACTAGCCCAGGACAGGAAAGATGGAAGGTAAATTGTGGAAAAACTGTAAAGGCCTAATAGTGTCACCACATCCCAAAAAGGATTAGGTTTGAGGAGGAGGAGGAGAAAAAGTTATTTCCTGTACTAGTTTAAATAGTTGTTTTCTTGTAAACCTTCTTTTAATGGTTAACTCAACTAAAATCTGCCTTGTTTCTTTATTTTGTGGATGTTAACTCATCTCTCCTTGGTTTTTCATAATCTTCGCGATTACTGAACCATCGCGTTTTTTAAAATTGCTGGATAAAAAAATATTAAAAAAATTTACAATGAAGTAAAAACTTCTTTTTGCAAAATGGTAAAAAACTTTAATATTAATTTTTTTTTAAATTATCCAAAATGGATGTATAAATTTTCAGAACGTTTTTAATCCTATCAGATCATTATCAGTAAAAAAAGTTTTTATAGTAGTTACAACTAGCCCAATGATGAAGTCAGATGACCCTTAAATTACATAATTTGAGTAACTAACATTATAAATAAACATTAGGCCAATTATAAAGAAAAACATTTTTTAAGAAAACATACAATGTCCCAACTCGAAAAAAGAGAACTTTGCGCTCTGAGAGGTAACAACCAACTTTAGTTTTATTCTTTTTTGTCTATTAAAACTTAATAAATTAGAATAACCAAAGTTAATACAAGTTAAGTACAGGAGTAGTCGACCAAAATTCCAGTGGTCCACAATAATTATCTTAAATCAACTATTACTAATACTATTTCTGTGTTAAAGAGAAATTTCTATATGGTGCGTAACAGGATCTAAGGTTGGTATTTTGCCCAATTGAAAAAAAACTTTTAAAAAAATCAAAAATGGTAGTGCTAGTTTCTCTTAGTCAATCCAGTAGCTTATAAACAGTTTTATTTTTAGGCACATATATGTACATTATGTTTTTTATCTTTATATGGCTTATGTAAGCCACCACAGTAAAGATCATGACGGGAAATGGTACGCTGAAAATCATTTCAGCGTATATTAGACCGCATGATCCTATCTTTAACGAGGATCTAAACATAATTTTTAATGCAGAAGAGCCAACTGTCATCATATGTGATCTAAATTCTAGATCCTACACAACGTGTAGGATTACAATAAACACCATAAAACACATAAACACATGCTCATAAACAACATAAAGAGGAAAAAAAACAGAATACTTCGGCCATATAATTAGAGGACCTAAATACCATCTACTTCGCCTTATAATACAAGGAAAAGTGAAAATAAAGAGATGGCTTGGTCGAAAGAAACTGTCATGGCTGCGTAATATTAGACAATGTTGTGGTTCCACAGTAGAAGAATTCTTTCGCGCAGCAGCCGACAGAGAAAGGTTTCAGGAAATTGTAAACTCATGACGGCCAACGTCTGAATATGGACACGACACCCGAAGAAGAACACAACGTAGGTAAACAATATGAAATAAATGTATAATGAAGATGATTCCACTCCAAACTTAATCGTCCTGACTTTAGGTGCACTAGACTATTTGCAGCCCTACAAGAAAAAGGGGAAAAGTTGGCCGAACTTTAAAATAATGATAAGCAAAAATATTGGTGCAATACCAACGATTAACAATAAAGCAGAAATAGGGGAAAGTAAAGTTAAACTAAAAGAAACTATTCAAAATGCTATACACTCTAGCACAAGAAGTTACGACAGCCCTAATAGGTAGATTCCAAGACATGCGATGAACTAAAAGATATCATTAGATGTCATTTTGCGTGCATCATAGACGTTGCTTGCGGTTGTCTCAGTAAGATTATGACCTTATAGAGCTTTGAAAGCATAAAACCACTTCTTTCATACCATTTGAAATTTTGTATTGAAATTATATGGTATTTAATTTCTTTAGGCGATTTTAAAAGCAAGCGTCGAATATCATTGATCGTGAGGCCAAACAATAACGTCTCCAGTTTTAAAATGTGATCAAGTAGCTTCTCCTCTACTGCTGTTGGTTACACACTGTCTCGGTCAAAAGCCTTCGTTTCTTCATTTGCCTTGACATTGGTCCCCTTAAGGTGATGGAGCAAGGTAGGCTTATGGACTCAATAGTGCCAGCAGGATTCATTTAATCCAATGTCTCCATTCTTCTGTTTTAATTTTTAAGAAAGTAGATCTAAATGATTGTTTTGAGCTGCATCCAAACCATTCTCTCAGTTTCTTAAGCCATGAAATTCATCTTCTTCCGATGCTTCTTCTGCCTTCTATCTTTCCTTTCATTGTGAGTCGCAGGATACCATACTTCTCGCCACGCATTACATGTCTGAGATACTGTAGCTTTCTTTCTTTAATTGTAAGTTCAACTTCGTTCTTTTTACCTATTCTTCTCAGTACTTCATTGTTCGTAACTCTATCTACCAAGGAAACCCTCATAATTCTTCTATAGGTCCATTTCAAAGGCGTTAAGTCATCTCATTGTGTCTAGATTCAACGTCCATGATTTCACTCCATAATATAGTACACTGTATACGTAACATTTTGTTAGGCGTACTTTAAGAGCTAATGTTAAATCTTTGCCATATAGGACCTTTTTATTTTCATAAAATTAGAAAATGCTTTTTCGATTCTGACTTTGATTTCTGCAGTGTAGTCATTATTTTCTGTTATAAGTATTCATATGCAAGTGTACTTTTTTATTCTTTCGATCTGCTGACCCTCTACTATCAAGATTTCGTTACAAATTTTCATAAACTTCGTCTTTTTGATATTGAGCGAGAGTCCGTACTCCCTACTACATATTACTATTTTACTTATGAGTTTTTCCAGGACTTGTAAACTAATGGCTATTATTACTGCATCATCTGCATATCTGATGTTGTTAACTAAGTTTCCATTTACTCTTATGCCGACTAAATCTCTTTCATCTAGGTTTTTATTTTTTAGAATTTCCATGAGTTGGTTATGTTTTACTGTATCAAACGCTTTATTGTAGTCTATAAAACAGACGTAAAGAGGACGGTTAACATCTGAACATCTCTGGGTCAGCAGGCTGTGACGTGTCCTGCCCAATTCCATTTTAACGATGCTATTTTTTTTAAAGCATCTGTTGTTTTTGTTCTACGACGTATTTCTTCGTTTGGAATTCGGCCTTTCAGAAAGACACCCAACATCTGGCGCTCCATAGATATCTGGGTCATTCTCAAAATATGTTAATTTTTATGATCTATGCCAAAGAGTAATGGGAAAAAACGTGCCAAATAAAGTTTATGATCGAGTCATATCACGCTTATTTTTCGCGTCATCCTGATATATCGGGTGAGTTGGTCTCCAACTCCCCCGTGTTGGCTTAACCAACTCATACACTTTCATCTAAATGGTATTTTAATATAAATATATAAATGTTTCAGAGTGTAGACTTTTTGTGCTTAGATTCAGACAGTAACAAAAATGTGGCCATCCCTCCCGAAATTACCCTATATTTCAGTGATTCACACCATCTCTTTTGTGTTTTCCAACAATTCTTCGACCACTTGGTGAGTTGTTTATTGAAATTCCTGCTACCCTTTTTTAAAGAATTCTGGTAATATGTTCATTTCATTTCTGTTTGTATTTTATTACTTACGTACTTATGTCTTTTATATGCTTCTTATGTTCTAGCTTCCCATTTATATACAATTGGCTTTTCTCTGATATTCTTCAGAGTATTCTTATCACGATAGCTTCTAGCAGTCATTTTGTTTTATATGTGTCGGTTCTCGTCTTCGCCGTGTATGTCATAGGTCTAATCACTGTTTTAAAGACCCTTGCTTTTGTGTTTGGTTTCAATATTTGAGTGTACGTAAGTGTTAACGCGTAAGTAAAAATAAAAACAACAATTAGATAAACTATTTAATAAATAAATAAATTACTAATCCTTATATACTAATACAAATTACTGAGGAACGTATCCACTGTATGCCAACAGATGAGCATTATCACCTCTGTCTAACTCCCAGCCACTATGGACCACTGGCACGTGATCATCGTGGCTAACTTTTGTGCAAAATTTCCAAATCGCTAGTCCCAGACCTGTTACGAATGAAACGAAGGACAATTGTAAAGCGTTCCAAGCCTTGAAACCTAAAATTGCTAAAGCTAGAGGTATCAAGATAATGGCTTTAACCAGGATGAAGATTAGGATTGGAAGAAAGGCCTTCTTGATGGTCTTCTTGATTTTCTTGATCTTCTTCTTACGGCCTAAAGAAAAAAAAATGTAAAAAACAAGTTTTCTTGAATAATATTTAAATTTATATTTGCAAAAACTATCATCAAATATGTTTTTTTTTTCTTATTTTTTGTTTGTTTTTTTTTGTATTTTGAATCTAAAACTGAATCTGAATCTGAAACTGTCATAACAATTGAAAGTTTTTCAATTGTTATAGCAGTTAACGATACACTATCAATTTTAAGAAAAGTTTAATCTTTCAGACGTTACTTTCAAAGAAATTTCAAAATCAACTTATCCATAAAAAAAAAGCATATTCTAAATAAATCACAACGTAGTAAGTATCCAACATGTAATTAAGTCTATAATCTAATTTAATCTAAACTGAAACCAATACAAATATTAGAATTAAAACAATTCGAAAACTCCAATATGTATTAGTGAATGTTGTTGGTATTTTTTTTATCTTATTTAAAGCTCTACAGTCTTTGATGAGCATTGACTTCTCTTAAAAGATTTTTATGTTGTTTACAATTTAGGACCAGTCTTCTCTATTTCCTTATTCCTCGTACATATTGACGGAGTACTTTCCATTTCGTAAAGGAACCACTTTATCTTTTATACTTAAGACATGTGCCATACATCTCAATCTGTTGGTTTTAGGACTTTAAAAAGACTTACTTTAAACTCCAAGCTTTATATTTTTTTGTATTTGTACTTCTCAAGGTATTGCTTGATTTCGTTCATATCAAGCTTGCACCGGCAAGAGATCTGACGTATACAAATTATTTAACAGCTTTGATAGTTTACCTATATAACTGAGTTCTACATATGCCTTTGAGAGTTGGTGGTACCGCTATATTTTATTTTCTGAATGTTTATTATAAGTCCCATTCAATCTTTCTCTTTTTCTTCTACCTTTATACAAACGAATTGTCTGTTTTTCTTCAATGTGATCGCATACCCTGATAAAAAATTATCATTCCATCTTTTATGTGGACAACCTATGCTTCTTGTTCCAATTGGCTACTTATCTCGGGCTATTCTAACTACTTTATTCACTGCCATTCCATAGATATGGCTGCTTCATTCTTTTTGTCTTTCTTTAGTTAAGATTAATGTCTATTCTTCATGGGTTTCTAATATAGTGACTCCTTGTTCTATCTATTATTTTCCGGTTTTTAATCTTTTCTTTGTCACCAAATATTGTCTTGTCGTGCTTGTGTGTAGTCTTGATTCTGCAATATATGTCATGACAGGTCTGATTAAAGACTTGTACCTTTATTGACTTTTGTTTACCGATTTTAAGTGTTGTTTCTCCTGATTATGTGGTTAAGACATCCCGCTGCTCTTACTCATCGCAGGAGCAAAAATACGGTGGCGAAAAGAAATCCCCCCCCCCCCCACTAAGAAGGTGTAAAATTAAAATTACTATTATTTATGTCTTTTATGTAGTATTTAGTTTAAGTTTATCTCTTTTATGTCTTTTGGTTGGTATTTCATTGAAAGTCCCCCCAAATTTCATTAAAAGTGGAAGATCAGCCACTGCCTCATCGAGGTTTTTGTTGCTCGATAGGTTTATTCCCAAATATTTAAATTTCATTACCTGTTCTATCATTTGCTTTTTAATCTGAGGTTTGCACCTTACTAGTTATTTTGATGAACTAAGCTAAGCTTTTCATTTTATGTGACTAAATTTTTATTTTAAATTCCTTGGCTTTGGTATCAAAGCAATTATCTGCATTTTTTGGTTATCAAAACTTCGTCGTCCGTCAAATATTATATTCATTTTTTTATTTGTCATTTGGTATCCTTTTTTGTTTTTATTTGTTTTACAACCTTGTTTATTAAGCGGGCTTAATATATCCCCTTATCCAATAGAATTTCAGTTGTACCCGCTATCGGTTGAATCGTTTTTGTTTGAATTTTTTCTTAGGGTTTGTTTCCTGCATAAATATTTTCCATTATTTTTATAATATGCAATGGTTCCTACTGTATAGTAGGTGTATCACATCCAACCTCACTCTGACAAAAGCCTTTTCCATGTCTATAAACATAAGTAGATGGTTTATTGAGTTTTATAGACTATTTTTTGCTATCTGTTAACTACGATGTAAGCATCGTTATATAATTTTCGAGTAAAAGCTTTGAGCAGGAAGCTTTGTTGTTCGTCTGATATACCAAGCATTTTCATAACTTATTTATAATTATTTTTGTTAATATTTTGAAAGTAGTGTCTTTCTATTTTTGTTATGGCTTTCTTTATCTTAGTTTCCGTTATTTGTGTTAATAGATTTAATGTTAATTCTGAAGTTATAAGAGTATGTTCAGTTTCTGTTCTTTTAATTGTTATTTAATTAAAGTAAATTTTTACCAAAACTAACATGTGGTCGGAAAGTTTTTGTTTTGGTGGCCTGCATTAATGAAATCATGGACTGAGACCTCAAAGAAAAGAGGATCAACGGTTATACAGCTCGCCAAGCAGCTATTCTGGCCGTAAAGAAATCACTGACCAAATCAAAAGTGGTGAGAAACTGAAAAGATCTTCTCAACAATCTAGCAAAAGCCAATAAAATGACTTTAATATGAGTGTCAGGTCATGAACTGGTAGGTGAGAATGAACGACCAAGTTTGTTAACAAAAAAGGCTTAAAATAAGCCTTTACAGACTCAGAGGCATTATGTTGCATGAGCAAAGATGCTACAGGAAACGAGGTTCCGAAGTGGTTAATAGGAATTGATCAAAAAAATAAAAAGTCACTTAAGGACAAGTCTAGAGTAAGAAAATAGTCAAGAATGTCGATAAAAATTTGACAAACCTTAATAAACTACAAATTTAAGCGGTCACCTAAATGATGACTGGAAACTGTCGTTTAAGAAGTCGTTATACATAATAGATGAGGTGAATGGACCGTGGGTAAGGAAAATACGAAATGGATAAAGAAATTGCCACACACTTCTTATGTCATTGCATGTACTAAGTAATAAGACATAGGAATTTATTGGTCAACTGAAAATTGTACCAGAAGAGATCCCAAAAGAAACAATGAGGAACCTGTTAGCCTTCGTAGAGCCAACACAGGTATTGGGTTTAAATAAAAAAAAGAGTGTAATACAAAGATTATATGATAAGTGCCAGAGATTAGCGTTGAATTTCTTAAAACATTTTAATCCCAGGTATTAATAATCATATGTACCGAGATTCAAAATCCCTCACGTTTTGAAGATAAGATACATATTTATTTTAATAATTAATCGTGTAATGCAGTAAGTAATTAAGTACCTAAAACAGATCTAGTACTTACTTACTTACCCCAGATTAGTCGCTTAGAAAAAAAAAAGAACATACTATGATTAAAATTAATTTACCTTCAAATTGTGAACTTATACTTCTTGATTCCTCTGGTTCCTCTTTATTCAATGGATCTTCTAAAGATTTAGCATTTCGGATTATGGAATTTACGTTTTCCAAAAGTCTCCCATCTGCCTTTAAACTTGGATCATTTCGAAATAGTTCGTTATTACTCTGAAATTAATTTACATTTAAAATAAATATGCATAAATTATATTTTGATGTTTATATTTTGGTATAGTTTATATTATGGTAAGGACGGAAGACCAGATCTGACTAAACAACTATTAAAACTAATTCAAAAAATAATAGAACAAAACAGAATTGCTCAAGAATGGAGATCAAGCATCCTAATACTTTTCTTCAAAAAGGGAGACAAATCGGACTTGCAAAATTACAGAGGAAATTAATTTGTTAAACACAACACTAAAACTAACAACCAAAGTGATAACAAATAAATTGAATTAAATTATAACACTAGTAGAAGAACAACAAGGTTTTAGGTCGGGAAGATCATGCACCGACGCTATAGTTATAATGAGGCAAGTGCAAGAGAAATTATTAAAATACTGCAAACCGGCATATCTATGTTTTGTGGACCTTACAAAAGGCATTTGACCGGATCAAATTAAAAGACGTTATCCACTTACTGTAATGCAAGAGAGATTCCTCTAGGAATAATCAAAACGATCGTAAATATCTACCAAACAACACAATATAAGTAAAAGTAGAACAAGAACTAACCGACCCTAATGAAGCTGGCAATAAGATAAGACAGTGAGATTCCCTGAAACCTCTATTGTTCAACCTGATTATGGATGAAATAATAAAAAAGTAAGAAATAAAAAAGGATACCAAATGGGAGAAAAACAACATAGATTATTTATTATTTTTATTAATTAGGTGAAGTTAAAATTTTCCGCCTCAATATTACATTTGAATTATAATTGACCAAACCCCATCAAATTTCGATATTGAAGAGAAATCCTGGGAGATTTTATCAGACAACAGTAGTTCCAGTTCAATCGAAAACCTTACAAAAGAACTTAGTAATCGGTATTATGAAGTTTCTACAGAAGAAAATGAATTAAATTCCTTAGCTATTTAAGTTAACAAAGATTTTACAGATGAAGAAGAAAGCGCAAAGTTTTGAAGACAAATCTTTACCGAAAATTTTTTGCAGTTCTTCTGGAAAAAAATTAAACCCAGGTTAAAGAAAAGAGTCAAATTACCTTACATAACATATTTTACTCTATTATCGCTAACTGCTTTTATTCTTATTATAACAAGTTCGATTGTGCTCTTTTGTTTGCTACGAATACGTGCTCTGCCAAGCTCACCAGAGCTTATTTCAAATGAAGAGTACACAAAAATTGGTGAAAATGGAATATTTAGTCATTTTAATATACACCCAGATATAATAGACAAGCCTATAAACCACTCGATGGTTACACAATACATGTACAACAGCTTTTAATAGCTACATTAAAGATAATGTTTGTTTTATAGAAGATATATTTAAAGTAGACAATGATATAAAATGTAATACTCAAATAGTGACATTTCTGTACTTTTAAATAATGCTGATCAGTATTTTCTTAAAAACCGTACTAGTAATTTTTTCAAGTTCTTAAATGCTGTATGTACCTGCTCTGTTCATTATTTACAGATTTACTTTTAGTTAAATTATTTAACAGTTAAAGTAAAAACTGCAGCTTATACCAACTACAAACAATTATTCCAATTCTGATAAACCTATTAAATTTGAACAAATAAAAAGGACAACAGAAAATGACAATCTAAACTGAAATAAAACCTCAGTCCAAAAAACCATTGAGTTTGTTACCGATTCTTACTTTATATTAAATGACAGTACCTATTGTTTAAAATGGTAACTTAAAAAATGGTAAAATTGAGTGTGAACGAAGATTCGAGGACATTGACACAAAGTGGAAAACAGTTGGTAAGAGCCATCGCCAAAAAATTCAAGAAATAAAAGAAGAGTTTAAATCGCAGGTTTTTCGAATAAAAGAAAAAGAAAAAGTCATCCATAAGAAAACAAAAAATTCAGCTAATAAGAGATAAGTATACTCAAAAGTTACGAACAGATAAAGATAAATAGAATATTTAATAGACCGACTATTACAACAGAAATACGAAGTAAGTAACTGAGTTGGTTGGGACACGTAGAAATAATGGATGATAAAAGAAGTACAAAAACAGTACTTAGAAGAGAATTGAATGGAAAGGGATCGAGAGGTAGGACCAGAAATAGGCCCATATGGATTAATGGTATTAACCAGGATTTACTAGAACTAGGAATACGAGGATGAGGAAAACAAGCAAAGGAAAAAAATGTCAACTATAGTCAATAAAAGAAAATATACATGACACTGTAACGATCTTAAAGAAAACAAACTAGAAAGTAACGATTTTAGATATAAAACGCTGGACTTTTTGAGGAGTTATGCGTATGGCTGACCTCCACACCATGTAAAACTTTAGAGCCTAGAAACCCCCACGGGCGACTATGGTGCTCCATGGGCTGTCATTGGTCACAGATGATGATAATAATAGTGAAACTTAGACGGTGCACAAAGTTAAAGATTACAGTCGGTCGAAATGACAGTATTAAAGAAAACAAAACATTGAGAGGTCCAATAAGAAATTAAGATATAAGGGCAGCAATAAATATTATTACAATGAATAACAAAATATAACAAAACACGTTAAAATGGTCAGAACCTATTGATAGAATGAGCCAAGACAGATTGTACAATATAAACCACACGGAATAAGAAACTTGAGACTGCTCCTATGAAGATAAAATACTCAGGAAAAAATCGACTTGAGCTTAATCCTTAAATCGAAAAAGCAGAAGAAACTTAAAAGAGATTTAATAGCAGATACATATAATAGATGAATAATATTCTATTTATTACCTCCTTTTAAAAGACATTTAAATTTCCTTAACTAATTAAATCATGATTATTAATGTACATCATGTACATTTATTACAAATTAACTTTCTTCGAAATAGAAATAACAAAATTTAAAATCTCACTTATCAGATAAAACGGTAAAGCTTACCTCTTTATTCTCTACCAATATTACAGGATTTGCGACTGTAGCAGCAAATACAAATAATAAAGTTATAATAACTGGATGCATTTTAACTAATTGCTATCGCCACGACAATTAGTCAAATGGTTCCTTTTAAACTATACATTATTATTTATATGAGCAGTAGTCACGATACAGGAAGTACCAAAAGTAATACAAACAAAAGAAAAGTGAAAACTGGTATTCACTTGTATATGGAAGAAAAATGCGATTAATATTTTGAAAAATGGTGTCACCCTTACTTAATATAGACGACAGCATATTAAAATGACGCCGATTTTGGTTAAGAAAATATATTTTTATTGCCGGATCAAGTTTAATTAAGTGTTAGGAAGTTCCAAATTGGATATCACTTTAAAGATGAGAAAACGGTTCACTTAGGAAAAAATGAAACTAGATTATTTATTTTAAATAAAGTGGTCAATCATATTTAAGAAAAAATCAAAGCCTATATAGAATCTATTTTTTTTTTCGTAGATTAGTAAAACAAAAAAAAAATAGAAAAAGTGGAGACATACACATACCTTAGAACCACAGTCAACACAAAATGGGACAGTCAACAGAAATAAGATCAACGAATTGAAAAAGCGCGAAACGCGTTCAACAATATGAAAATGTGGTTCACAAGCAAAATCTCAATGAAACTAAAATTAAGACTGGTCAAGTGTTATGTCTTCCTGGTCTTGTTCTATGGAGCAGAGGCATGGACCACAATGGAAGCCACCCTGAAGAAACTAGAATCCTTTGAGCTGTGGATATATCGCCGTATTCTTCGGATATCCTGGACAGACCACATCACTAACGTGGAAGTAATGCAGATAATAGGCAAAAGCAAAGAAATAATCTTGACCGTAAAGAAACGGAGGCTTGAGTACTTCGGACATGTCATGAGGCAATACTAAGTACCGGCTGCTACAGTTAATAGTCCAAGGAAGAATCGGCAGTAAGAGGGAACGGGAAGAAGACGACACTCATGGATGCATAACCTGCAACAATGGTTCGGACTAACATCGACCGAACTGTTCAGAGATTGTAAACAAAGTCAAAATAGCCTTGTTATATAGCCAACGTCCAAAACGGATAAAGCAAAGAAAGAAAAAGATATAGAATCTGTATTTAACTTATTTGCCACTTAAATCCCAAAATAATTCCTTAAGAAGGCCTTAGTAAAACTGACATATCTCAATGAAGTATTATAACGTTATAAACGTCACATCTTTATTAATTTATATTTAAATAATTATTTTATTATAATTTCTTTATTAATTTATTAATTCCTTATCCTTCAGTTGCTTTTTTACTATTTTTTCTTCAAAAAGTAGTTGGCGCCACGTTACTATTGGCTCTATTTTTGCCTCTAACTCTTCCAAATTAAGCATTTTTCCTGCTGTTACTGGTTGTTTCATGGGGTCAGGTTGCTGCTTTCCTCTCTGCAACATGTCCAGTGATATTCATGGTCTGCGACTTCTGTTGGAACTCCCTTTTTCCGCCTACGATTCCTCCTGTATTGGCAGCGGGTGAATAGGAGCAAAATAAGCCTCAGAATCTCCAGGAATAGTTACGTTAGGTTCCAGATCTTTTAATAAATTATTAATTAGATGATCATCGTGCAGATATGAGTGACGACTTTCAGATTTTTCTGGACTTTCTTGTTTAAACCGAATGGGACTTTGAATTATCTCCATCAGCTCCAACTTCGTTTGTTAGCAATCCAGGAATCCAGGTGACCAGTCAATTTCCTAAGATTTGCCAACCAGGACATACGTCTACGTCCAGGGCCTCTCTTGTCCTTAATCTTACCCTGTAGAAGTCGGTATTTATCAGTACGCATGATGTGGCCGAAGTAAGCCAATTGTCTGCTTTTATGTTGTTAATAATTTCTTTGTCTTTTCTTAGCCTCTGGAGAATAGTTATGTTACTTGTGTGATGTATATATGACACCCCCAAGATACGTGTGTAGCACCACATTTCAAATGCCTCCAATCGTTTAATGGCATCTTCTGTGAGGCTCCAGCTTTTTACTCCATAGATGAGGACACTAAAGACGTGACATCTCAGAATTCTTATTCGTATATTGATATTTAAAGATAAGTTTCAGAGAATCTTCCTTAGGCTGTTGAAAGAGGTTGTGGCTTTTTCAATACGAGTTTTTATTTCGTAGCTGTGATCCCAAGTATCCTTAATATTGCAGCCTAAATAGCATATTTTTTCACTCTTTCTAACGATGTATCATTAATTGTAATTTGGGCGTTTATGCCGGTGTTTTTACTAATGATTATTATTTTTGTCTTCTTGCAATTTAGTTTTAGGTCGTATTTGTTAACCTTCTACAACGTTATCCATCATCCTTTGGAACTCCTGCGCACTACCTGCCAGCATCACTGTATCGTCTGCATATCTAACATTGTTTATAAGTTGGCCAATATTAATATTATAGTATTATATTTTTTCACCATTTTTTTTTAATCCATTGCAGTGCCATTAGCAATAATCATATCGAGTTTAATTTTCAATAAAAACTTTCACTTGACTTGTAATATTATGTTCTGAAGATGAACATTTATTTTCAAGATAAAATTACAGAGAGTGGGATTTTTAAAAAATGCCTTTTGAATATCTTTTAAAACTATATAAGACGTTTATAAAATTATATTGATTTTATGATAAATTGAATCACCGATAATGGGCAATTACTATTCCTCGAAATGACTTGTACATGATAAAACTAAGTAAATATTTGTAGCCTTACTCCATATACACTACAAGGATAAAACATTATGCAATATACTTAAAAAACTAATCATAAAATGTCAATTTATAAAACATTTAAAGTGTTTAAATGTTTGAAGAAAATTGATAGAAAAGTTGAATAAGATTACAAAATATACGTTAGATGAACAAAATGTAACATAGCTATATGAGGAAGAAACAAAAAATGAAAAAATAAAAAATAAACAAGCCACCTTGACAAGCAGTCTCAAAACCAATTTTTTGGAAAATAATTGGTTTGAAGACTACCGAAATTTTAATTTATATCAAAAAAGCTTCGATTACATCAATAAATAGAATCATAAGGCATCGGAAGATAATGCCGTTGAACAAGAAAGAATTAAAAAAACTTACATCGTTACCATTGATTTCTTGACCTATGTGAGTTCGGCTGTCCCAATTACATATTCTATAAGTTTGTAAAATGGGTCATATTAATATCAATTCCCTTTACAGACATCTGCCTTAGGGTCTCTTATGAGATATTTGATCTTTCTGTTCTAGCCCTTCCAGGAACTTGCACATCAGTAATTTGTCGTATTGGGTAATCAGCATCTCAACAATAAATATGCTCTAATCATCTTAATATATGCCCTCGAATTTAATATAAATTTATTTTGACGTTTCAGTTAATTAAAATATTAAAAGACATGTATTCTCAATTAAAAATTTGGTTATATTCTGTGAAAAGTAGTAGATAACTCTTATTTTGGCATCGATTGGTGCTATCCCTAGAATAATAATTCTTTATCTTATTTTTTTTCGTCACATTACTCAGCTATGTAAGGAATCTCATTTCCACCACATGAATTAGTTACTTCTTTTTTTATTTTCAACTGCCTAAAATTCAATTGTACCTGGTCTTATGACGCATTAAAAAAATTTTCCTTTGATCACGTTACCAGATACTGGTACGTTTCGAGTGAGGGGAACCGAACCATATCCCTTTTGATAATGGCTCCAAAATGGGAGCCGAAACGCCGAGCATTAAATTCTCAATGCGGTTCTTCCCGAGAACCTAGTGATTTTCATTATATATATATATTACAGGGTCTAACTTGTAAATACAATACATTCGGGTATTCTCGTTCTCCTCCGCCAATCCTCCCGGCCAAGGCATGCTCCTCCTCCAAACCTCTCGATTCCATCGCTCTTCTAATTCCATCATTCCATGAGCGTCGAGAATTGTCGTCCTTCTCTTTTCTCTTCTTCCAGAGGGCTTCCATCTGTGAAGTTTTTAAAGCCAACGTTCGTCAGGCATTCTCAATAGGTGTCCAGACTATTGTAAAACTCTTCTTTCTAATTCTGTCAATGACCGTATCTGTAGCATTCATGTTATTTATTATAGATTCGTTGGTATTCCTTTTCAACCTTGATGTTCTAACACTTCTTCTTAAATAATCCAATTCAACTGCCAACAAACCTTTCTTCTGGTCTGCATTAATTATTCATACTTAGAGTCATGAAAAAACTGATTCAACTATGGTTTGTTCTAATCTTTTTTGTTCCTTTTGGAAATATTGCGATCCCACCATAAGGAGTTCAGACATTCTACAATTTTACGTCCCTGATTAATTCTTTGTTTAATTTTAGTTTCTCCCATTCTTATTCTTATCCCATTCTTATCAATAAGTGTACCTAAATATTAAAATTTTCCCACTTGTTTGATTTCCACGTCCTCCTCTATCAACACTTCACAACTTGCATCTGAATTGATAACTAGATATTCTGCTTTCTTCATGACTTGTTGCCCAATTTTATCATATTCTCTGTATAAAGGACGACTTGGTCATCTGCAAAGTTTGGGGAGAACAGTACGTCATTTCCTATGGGGATTCTCATTCCCTGGCAGTGGTTTTTCCAATTTTGGAGGGCTGTCTCAATATATAAATTAAACAGTAAGGGTGACATACTGCATCCTTGTCTTAGTCTTTAGTTACTTATTGGCTCTGATAGTCTATTTCCGATTTTTAGGTAAGTAGTGTTATCCCTGTTTACTTCTGTAATTATTCCTAAAAGGTATGGACTAATGCCAAGTTGTTGTAAAGCTTGCGACATTTTAAGTATTGGAACTGTATCATACACCTTTTCTAGCTCGATGAAGGCTAGATGTACTTCGGTACCAACCGCTATTCTTTTTTCTATTAATTGTTGTAGTATAAACAAGTGATCAGTGCAAGATCTACCAGGCGTAAATCCACTTTGGTCTTCACTAGTTAGATGTCCTACATCATCTTGTATTTTTCCATTTATTATCTTTGCAAACAATTTCCCGAAAATAGGTAGGACACTTAATCCTCTGTAGCAGTTAGGATCTTTTCGATTACCCTTTTCAAGATGGACACTTGGTGAGCTGTTTTCCATTCAGATGGTACTTTAATTTGTTGGCAACATTGATCAATTAGAAAAATTATTCGTTCTATTATAAGTGGACCTCCTACTTTAAGTAACTCTACAGCTATATTGCCAGGTCCTGGAAATCGCCCGTTTTTCATTTTAATTAACGCAGTACGGACCTCGTTGTTAGTAGTATTAATATTACTATTTGTTTGTCTCTCCATACTGTATTCCTCTCCCATATATTCCAATCTGGTCTCTTAAAGTAAATTTTTATAGTGATTTTCCCACTTTTCTATAGCAATTAAGTTGCTTAAGGAGTTATGGGTGTTTTTCTTTAGTTTAGTAATAGTTCTCCATGATTCCGTAGTCGAGAACCACCAATTAAATTTTCAACTTGGAGACATTTTTTTTGCCCAAAATTGTTTTTTGCTTTTTTTGTTTGATTGCGTACTTCTGCGTTTTTCCTCTGATATGTTACTCTATTGCTACATGTTTTATTTGTTAGCCATTTCTTACATATCTTGTTTTTTTCCTGTATTATTTCTTTTACTTTTCTGTCATCCATGGTGGTTCGTGGTGTTTTTTGTCGTTGTTCTCTGTTCCTAATACTTCATAAGCAATTTTTTTTATTATCATTTTAAGGTTGTTGTATTCATGTTCTATATCCATATTTCCTACCATCTCATTTAGTTCCTTTTCTAATCTAGATTGAAAAAGATGTTTAATACTTAGTTGAAATAAAAGGTGCAATTTATATCTCTCCATTTATTTATCTAAAATCTCTAATAATTTACCGTATTAAATTATTTTAAAGGCTTTTTGATAATCAATGAAGTACGCAAATATATTAAGCGATGCCTCCTGATTTCCCCATAAAAGAAAACAATTCAAAATTAATAAAAAAATATTTTTAATGTATAAAATATCAAATAACTGTAACGTAGACCAGACTTATTTACTAATTATTATTATATGAAACGTAAATAGTTTCAAAACACAATTCAGATTTCCCTTTAATCTGTGCTTTCTAAAAATTGCAAAGCAAAACAGACGTTGATAAAAGTGTTAAAAGATAAAAGGTGTTATCAACGTCTGTTTTGCTTTGCAATTTTTAGAAAGCACAGATTAAAGCGGAAATCTGAATTGTGTTTCGAAACTATTTTACGGTTTTATTGTCAGATATCGGTATTGCATCCATATTGAAGCCATTTTAGTGTTGCTTCTTAAAAGACATGACATGACATATTGATCTTTCACGTTGAGAACACCTTTGAATAACTGTTCTGATGAGACCTATTAGGTCCAAATACGTATCAACAGATACAAAGGTGCTTTTTGCGTGAAATCAAATATTTGCTGTCTTTTCACTATTATTATATTATTAAAAATATATTGTTTTTCGTAAAATTTATTACGAAATATTTGAAAATTTCAATGGTTTATTTAAAACGTAATTTAAAATATTTATAAATGCACTTTCGTTTTTCGGTTTTCCAAACTTAAAATCCTATTCACCGAGAGTTCCTTATTATTATGGCACAATTCCGAGCACGAGCTTTTAAAAAGTGAATACGCATACCAACCATCGGAATACCAAAACATCCACCGGATCTTTTAGCGGAACCACACCATACACAGAAAGAAACCCATACAAGAATTAATTTGCCTATTAATAATTCATTCACAATCGTTCCCTGACCTCTATAATGCTCTGTATATAACTGCGCCCATGTCAATTCATCATCAATTATTTTAGTTTATTGTTCTCTCATCAACATGTGGAGGTTTGTGGTGCCTATTACATTATTCGCAGTCTACGTTACTGGACAAAGCACCCCCAGATCAGGGGATGAATTGGTTTCGACTGTTTTAGATAACTGCATCGAAATTGACTGTGTCAAACAAAATGTTCTAGGATATTTGGATAACATGCTTCACATACAAAGTGATGTTAGGAATACTAAGGTGATATTTTTGGTGAAAGTATTTTTTAGTGTTAAAATGTGATATGGGTATGTATGTGGTGATAATTAAGTATAGTAACCTTCGACATTATTTCCAAAAACTTGAGTTAATAAACCAAACGATAGATGGTTTATCGTAGAAAGATATTATTAGTTTTTTATTTTGCATAAATTTTTCATTGGAATGATTTTAAACATCTATTGTTACAAATGTTTGTTTTAAATTTTATCCATACTATACATCTCAACTGATATATTCAAATTTATTAGTACCTTGCTATCTAACGATCCTGAGATTTATCACGTTAGACTTTTGCATACACTCTCAAACATTCTCATTATTGCCTATTTCTTTAATTTTTTTATTCTCTATGTCAACCATTTTCCATCCACTCCTGAATGTAGGTCTCTTCCAATTACTTCCATCTTTCTCTATCTTGCGCCAATCTAATCCACTGTTTACCTGCCACTGTTCTTATGTCATCCATTCATCTTTTTTGAGGTCTTCCCATGCTTCTTGTTGTCGTCCTTGGTCTCCATTCTAGAATTATCCGTGTCCATGTATTGTTATTATATCGGGCTACGTGACCTGCCCAGCGCCATTTCATTTTTGTAATTTCTCCACAATATCACTAAATATGATTCGTTCCATTGTTCTTTGCTTTGTTTCTAATTCTTTAGCAGACTTTTTGGTAAGGGCTACTGTCTCCAAGCCGTAGGTACAACTGGTAGAATGCATGTGTTATACACCTTTTTCTTTGAGTTTACAGGAATGGAGGTGTTTTTCAAGGTATATGCTAGTTTGCCGAAGGCGCCACATGCCAGTTTTGTTCTTTTAATTTCAGCATCTTGATTTGGTTTTCCTAGTTTGATGACATGACCTAGATTTACATAATGTTCAACATTTTCTATGGTATGATTTTGTATTGTTTTATTTGTTTGGTCTCGGCTCAGTATTTTTGTTTGACTGTAGTTCATTTTTAAGTCTATCCCTCCTAAAACTGCATTTAATTGTTGTAACATATCATTTAGTTCTTGGATATTATCGGCTATGAAAATTATGTCATCTGTGAATCTCAATTGGTTTAAGTATGATTGTTATTCCATTCTAGTTTCTTAGAAATATCTTCTAATTCTGTTTTCATTGAATATACATACATTATTAACTTTTTCACAGAAGAATTGAAAAAACTAAATCCACTATTTTTTATCCAGTAAAAGTAATTTAAGTGTCAATACTGGTTCATCTATTTTACATAACATTAGTAGAAAGAAGAACTACTTTGAGTTGGATTTATTAGAAGATTTGGAAATTACAAGGGAAACAAATAAAAACTCTCACTGTCTTAATACTCAAATTAATTTAAATTGTGCTAAATTTAAACCTATTTTTTAAAATTTATTCAGTGGCGGCTGGTGTGATAAAATTTTGGGTAGGCCAAGCCAGCAAATTACATCGTAAATTTAGCGCCATATTCTGTGAATTTTTTATTATCGATCAATTCCAGTTATTGAAAAATTGAGTGATATAATTGTCCAAAATCTCAAAAAAGATCCTTCTAAATTTAGTTTTAGCTTTTTCCAAAAAACTTTGATCTCCGTTATTAGATGAACTACCAGGTAAAATATCAAGTTCACTACGACTTAAGATGGGTTTAGAATTGGTTTCGCTAACAGCAATGTTGAAATGCTTAGAAAATGTAAGGTCATTTCTCCAGCTTTTTAACATTGCAATACTTCTGGACACTGAATTGGCACACAATTGAACATCATTATTTTTCTTCTGCAAGATGTTGTATAAGAACTCAGTTTGTTGAAATATATCAATAAAAACATTTAAGAAAAATACAAATTCCAAATCCTCCAACTTACGTTTAAAACCATCTGCCTGCCTATTTGACTTTGCATTTGATTCTGGGCAATTCATTATGACCTGAAAGACTATACCAATTTTTTTCTTTCTTGTGACACAGCATATACTACTTTTGCATTTGAATTCCATCTAACTTCCATATTTGTGGTAACTCGTTTTCAAAGTATTTTATTTGAAAAATAGGACTGTTTGGACGATTGGTGAAAATAAGCTGGAATACCTTAAAGCGTTGAGAAAAATATTTTGACTGTCGTAATGTTGGAGCAACCTTGCTAGTTTGCTGTAAAACTAAGTTGAGGCGGTGAGCCAAACAATGGGTAAATATTGCTAATGGTGCAGAATCTCTCACTAATTTTTGAAGTCCATTAAATTGTCCCGACATAACACTAGCTCCATGGTAGGTTAGAGCAATTAATTTAGCTCTACAGTCAAATTTACCAATTACACTAAACAGTAAATCACGTAACGTGGAGCACTTCCCCTAGATCAAAAACACCTAAGAAATATTCTTGAACAACGCCTTTTGTGCCTTTTAAGCGCAAAAATTGCCTCCTTAGTTCCCATAGCATTTCTAAAACCAAATTGTGTATCATTAACGTCTATGTCCAGTTTGTGATATATCATCAGCATAACCTAAATCTTCCAGTTTGTTTGCTAATCCGCAGTAAATTCTTCTATAAGAATTTATCTTTGAAGTGCGGTGTCCAGTAAAATGCTAAAGGTAAAGGGGATCAAAACACATCCGTTTTAACCCACATCCCTGTTTGACAAAGCTTTTGGGTCAGACTCGTTGAATATTTGTACTGCCAGCATAAAACTTGTTTTAATGTTTTTTTTCAGAAGATTGGCAACGTTTTCCTTGTTTTCTATTTCTGGGTTACCATTGATAAACTCATGGAGTTTACATCCCTTAGTTTTTCTTTTATGTCAATTAATGTCTTTAATTGCCTTCTACATCTTGTTTTCTTTGTTTTTTACTAATCAATCAGCTTGTCCGTTTAGTCGGCGTGGGTGGTATACTGAAGATTATTTTTTGTAAATTTCTTTTTTGTAAGATTCTGTACATGTAAATGTAGTCTGCTATACTGATCATATATTGCCGTCATACTTATAATATAGCCTTATAGTATAGCCTCATTTCATCTAAAAAGAACAAATATACTGGTACTGACCTTACATCATTATATTTTGTTAAAATTAAACTACCAATAATTTGACTTAGTTCTTAATGTTTCAGAATATTGATGCTGCCATCTACAAGAGAGTTACCCGAGTGCTCAATACCCACGAATTCAAATTCAAGGTTCCAGAAGCACTAATGGAACAAACAGAAGTCGTTTATAATCCAAAAAGCGGATTGGATGTCGTATCCAACGAATCAGAGAATGAATGTAAGTTTGGGTGTACACAATATTCCAAAAATAGTTATTAAATTTTAAATCTTTAAATCCTTAATTTTTCAAGTTAAATTAGCAATTAGTTCGTCTGCCATTTCCTTGCAACTTTACTAAAAGTCAAAATAATTTTCATTGTATAACAAAAAATACTGAGGTATACTAATATTTTTTTTTATTTTAGCAAGAGGTATTGGTTTAAAGAAGAAACTGTTATTCCCCATTTTGTTGCTGTTGAAATTGAAAATGAAACTTCTTCAACCTCTATTCATCAAACTCAGTCTTATTAAAGCAACTAAAGCTTTGATTATAAGCAAACTGGCTCTTCTTATCGTTATTGGCTTCATCGTTTACCAGTTCATCGGAAAGTCAGGTAAGTATATTAAAAATTAAAATCTGTTAGATTTTGAAAGAAAAAAATAATGAAACTAACATATCTAGATCCAGGCCATCTTGAAAACAGTTCATTACAGAACATTCGCCAAAATTTACGGCAGACCTAATAAGCAAATACATGAAAACAGTCAAAGACATAATAGGTCTTCTAAAAGGTCACTGTAAGCTGAATAGTTACTTGGAGCTGATGGAATTATCAGATGATGATCTGTTCAGGTTTTGACACCTCGAAGAAGAAACAACAGAGCACATTCTATGCCAGTGTGACAGTCTAGCAAATGTGCGGTTTTTGCATTAATAGAAGAAAATTATTACAGTCTCAAAGCTATTAGACTTTTTAAAAAGGGTCCGGCTAGAGAATGTTAACTAGAAATAGAGGGCCACAATAGATCTGAAAAGGTCGCAGTGGAATAGGCCAAAAGGCCACATATCTAAATATATCTATCTATCTATCTAGATCCAAATATTCGTTAATCATACATTGACTCCACAGTATAGTTGGTCATTAGTCTCTTCGATTAATCGTCTCCATTCATTTTTATTTCTTGCTTTCGATCGACAGTGTTTAGTTTCTATTATTTTCAGATCTTCCTACCATTCCTTCCATGTGTCCTTAGATACAATATTTGTTGGTTTTTGGTTCAAACTTGACGAGCTTGACCACAATAGGTCCTGCATTAGCTTGGTACAATTTCTAAATCATGTCCCTCATATTCAACCTTCCATTCATTTCTTTCATTCATTCCTAAATCAACGTGTCTTGTCTATTTATATCCAGATGAATTTTTCTGGTTTTCTTTTAATACTTCCTATTAATATTAATTATATAAACAATTTTATTTATTTTTATAACATATTCAAGATAGTTGTGAGGCTTGCCACTATAATTCAAGAAAACCTAAGAAATGCGCTGAATAAACAAACATAGTAGCAGCAAACAGGAATCGATAAAAAGGGTATAGAAAAAACGAAATATTGGTAGAGATTAAAAGAAACGTAAATGAATACAAAGATACATTAATATCTAATAAATGAAGAAAATAATAAATAAGTATTAAACCAGATCAGATCAAATTCTCATATAGTATCACTCAATGACTTTATTCCTTATTTTGTTGGGTTATTGGGCAAACCGTGATGAGAAACCAAAAAAATAATTGTATTAAGGAATATTAAACGTTATATGGTCCGTCTGAATATATCTAGTAGGTTTTTGGTTTGAGCTTCATGCAAATCAGAGATTTTTTTCAAACGTAACAGTTAAAAACCAAAAGTGGATTTGGGGCTGTCATTTGGAGTCAACTGGAGCTTGTCAATTGTCAAATGAATCAAATCAATTGCTAAATAAATAGTAACAGTATGAATCGTAAAATACTTTGATGTGCCTAATTATGGATTTACGAAATAATAAAAATTCAATATAGAGCACACAATGTGTCATATGTCAATATGTCATATTGTTTGTAATATTTTTAGCAAAAATTTGATTTTCGTTAAATGACACCCATGTCAACTCTCTTTTTTAGCTATTTTAGTTTAAATATCATTATATTTTAAAGGTATGCCCATGCCCATGATGTCTATGGCACCAGCAGAACCTCCAGCGCCATTGTACGGAGCTCCACCAGCATCCCCACCTCCTCCACCAAGTTCATACGAACCTGGCTGGGAACCCAACACTGGTGGTCCTTACCAGAGAGTATGGTCAGTCGCCAGTGAGCCACAGAGTCTGGCTTATTCTGCCTATTATCCAGGAACTTCTGCAAACTCTGGAAGTTCTTCCACATCTCATCCTTAAAAAGATTATAGTTGATTTTTATTTATTTTGACTTATTTAATAAATTATTTTTTGGATCGAAACACTTTTTTATTGGTGCTTGCCATCGCCTTGTAGTAACAACACAAGCACATTAATTCCACTTTAAAACAAATACAAAGTACTTAAAAATTTCAGAAATCAAAAGCATTTTATTATATTATTTTAAAACTTATAATCAAATATGACCAAAGTGGATCATATTTGATTATGATTTTTTAAATAATAGACATAAATAAATTATGCTTGATTTAAACATTTTTCATTATTTATTTAAAAATTACAGAATACGATTCTTTCGTTAACAGGTCGCTCACAGCGATCACAATAATAAAAGCATTTCTTCTTCCGTACTATTTTTCTTGCATTCCATACACTTCAATTTCTGATTTAAAGTTTTGAAAGTTGATCCTATACACTAAAAGTCTGTTAATGAGCTTTATCAGTTGCCTTACAACAAGTTCCGTGTTTTTTGTGTTTTGAATTA